AACCTTTCTCCTTTAAAGCCTCAAAACCTTCTTATACCCAAATTATGGACCATGAGCCTTAATCAGAGAATGATCCGAAACAGGATGTTACAAGGAGCTTATTAGCTTATTAGCGGTTTCACACCGCTATAAACTAAAAACAATATTTAGATAAAAATAACTTATTGCAGTGAAAAACCACTAATGTATAATTTTTTTAAATTATTCCCGACTAACTTATTAGTTTATAAGCTAATAAACAAATATGTATATGGTAATAATTGATGGGTTTTGAGCATTACATCATTCATATGGTGCACATGCAATCCTAAAGCTTTGGATGTAGGTTTTCTATACTAATACATGCAATAATAATCATCCAAAGCTATAATCCTAAACTAGCATGCTATTTTCGAAATTAACATCTAATAAAAGGTTAGATGATTACCTTTCTTTGTAGCTTGCTTGATCTTCAACCTTTGAGAACTTAGCACCTCAAATGTGATGCCTCTAATAGATCACAAACACCAAGAGCAAGTTAGAGGAATATGAGAGAGAGTCTAGGGATCACAAAATTTGGCTGGTACTCTTCTAGGATTCAAATGGCCGAAAATAGGAGTCCCAAGGGTTCCCTATATAGCTGAGTTGCTAGGGTTTCAGTCAAAACCGTAATCTAATTGCTTAGGCCTTAAGCAGTCCACATGATCCTTCCAGAAGGCCCCTATGGACGATTTCTATGTGGGCTTCCACATAAATTTCATCCCCTTAATTTAATTAATCTCTTTTGATCACTAAATTATTTCCTGACCAACATTAACTAAATAATATGATTTCTCAATAAATATATTATTCTTATAATATATTAGTAAATAACAATTAACCTCTTTCTCCATAATTCATCTAATCAAGTTGCTATGGTGAATGCAACCCAAAAGGACCATGCAACTATCGGGCCAAGTATATACCAATTATAGTTATGGGCTTAGACACTTAAATCAACAGTCTCCCACTTGGATAAGTCTAATAACTATAAATGCTAGTATGACTTCAAAATCTGATTAGTAATCGTAGCTCTCAAAAGTTGTTGTCGAACTCAGAAACATCCTATAGATAAGGGATCATGTAGTCCTCCGTTCTCAAAATATCATGTAGACAAGTACATGGAACATAGTCATACTTATTGTCCAGCAGTTTGTTTCCCAATTTCTGATTTGTTTGACATAGAACTTAATTCAACACATCAATTCAGTTCAGACCGGGCCCGACACATAAGTCAACACAAAATCATCGAGGGGCCCAATATATTGCTTTTAATCCTCCTAGGATAAAATGAACGGATAAACTTTCACTTATATGTTTGTACTGTTTACTCATTAAATCATACACAACAATATGTTTTATAACATCAAGTTATTGATGCGTTTATACATTATCAATGTGCAACCAACTTGTAAACAACAACTCATATATCTCGATTGAAAGACTATATGATATTATCGTCTCGCAATCACTCAAGATGAATTCCATGAAGTGATTCATGTGAGTGTGGGTTTAATCTAATACTCAGATCTTATTTCAAGATCACTCTTGAACGTTGCAGCAAACCTTTGCTATGTCTAAATGCTTAGACAATTTACAAGACAATTCATGACAGTCTTGCCTCAATACCTACTTCCAAAATCGACTGTGGATAGCTTGAATAATCTTATTATTCTGGAAGTCAAAACTTGCAAAAATGAAACAGCAGTAAACAATTGACACAAGACAGTAACTTTACTCATAAATAAAACTCCTTTATTTAATCATCAAATGTCAATTACATTTTATCTTTTAAATGTTTCTAAATAGCTATCGAATCACTAAAACTAATAATCATCTGTCAGCCCAATACTCCTAGCATGCTGCAAGCGCTTAACCCTACTCAGTCCCTTTGGAAAGGGATTTGATGGGTTCTCCTATGACGATACCCTCGTCACTACAAGGAATCCCTCTTCTACTCGATGTCTGATGAAGTGGTATTTTATGTTGATGTCCCTGGATCTACCATGATCCCTTGGTTCCTAGGTTAAGGCGACCGCACCCTCGTTATCACAGAAAATTTCCATAGGCCTTTATGGCAGGTACAACCTTAAGGTCTCCAATGAATTTCTTTCGCCATATTGCCTCCTTTGACGCTTCACTCGTTGTAATGTACTCTGATTCGCACGTTGAATCTGCTACGGTCTCCTGTTAGGAACTTTCCCAGGTTATTGCTCCTCCATTTAGGGTAAACACCCAGCCCAACTGAGAGTGGAAATTATCTCGGTCAGTCTGAAAACTGGCATCACTATACCCTCGCACTCTCAAGTCATCACTCCTACTGAGGATGAGAACCCAACTCTTAGTCCTCTGCAGGTACTTAAGAATGTTCTTCACCGCAGTCTAGTGAGCTCTACCAGGGTTCCCTTGATATCGACTAACCATGATCAAAGCGAAAGCCACATCAGGGCGAGTACACGTCATAGCATACATGATCGAGCCAACGGCGGAAGCATATGGTACTTAACCCATTTATGCCGTCTCAACATCGATACTCGGACTCTGTTACTTAATTTGGTATTGCTTTGGATTGGTAATTCCCCTTTCTTGGAATTCTCCATGCTAAAACGTTTCAACACATTATCCAAGTAAGTACTTTGACTAAGTCCTATTAGTCTTTTACTCTTATTTCTCAATATCATTAACCCCATAATATAAACAGCTTCTCCAGGGTCCTTCATAGCGAAGTTCCCAAGCCAGGACTTGACCTCCTGCACGATTGGAATGTCGTTTCCTACGAGCAGTATGTCATCCACACACAAAATGAGAAAGCTAACTATACTCCCACTGGATTTGACATATACACAGGACTCATCCGTGCTTCTCGAAAAACCAAACACTTTGACTTTCTCATCGAAACAAACATTCCATCTGCGAGAAGATTGTTTTAATCCATAGATGGATTTCTCAAGCTTACACACTCTATTAGGGTGCTTGGCATTGACAAAACCCTTTGGCTGACTCATGTAAACATCTTCAGCCAACTTCCCATTTAGGAAAGAGTTTTGACATCCATCTACCACATTTCATAATCATGAAACGTGGCTATGGCTAGCATAACCCTTATAAATTTAATCTTCTCTACTGGTGAGAAGGTCTCATCATAATCAACTCCTAGAGTTTGAGTAAAGCCCTTCGCAACCAATCGTGCCTTATATGTGTGTTCTTTCCCTTCCAGGTCGGTCTTCATCTTGAAGATCCATTTGGAACCGACCGTCTTCTGGCCTGGCACATTGTCAACTAAGTTTCAAAACTGATTGTCATACATGGATTAAATCTCGTTGTCCGTAGTCTCTTTTCACTTTGCAGACTTCGGACCTACTATGGCTTCCTTGTAGTTGTTAGTTTCATCCATATTTATTAGTGTACTATCACTAATAAACGCATCACCCTCAGCAGTTATATGGAAACCATATAATACAGGTGGAACACTAACTCTACTGAAACGTCTAAGTGCTAAGGAATCATCAATCGATTACACAGGAGTTTCCTCCTCTGGTTGGGTGCTAGTGTTAGAGGTTCCTTCATCGCTTGATTCTTGAAGTTCTTCAAGATCAATTTTCCTCCCACTATCCTTTTGAAATATGAGTTCTCTTTCTTGAAAGACCCCTCTCCTCGCAACGAACACAACATTGTCACTCGATCTATAGAAGAAATATCTAAAGTACTTTTGCGGGTAGCCGATGAATATTCATCGCTCACTACGAGGTTCGAGATTGTCGTAAGTCTCTCGTTTTATGAAGGTCTCGCAACCCTAAACCTTGATATGTGCCAACGAGGGAACCTTCCCTGTCTACATCTCGTGAGGTGTTTTGGCAACCTTCTTAGTTGGGACTAGATTAAGGATATGGGCGGCAGTCTCTAAGGCGTACCCCCAAAATGAGAAAGGTAATGAAGCTCGATTCATCATGGAACAAACCACGTCCAACAATGTTCGATTTGACCTCTCATCCACACCATTCAACTGCGGTGTCCTAGGTGGCATCTATTACGAAACAATTTTACATTCCTTAAGATAGTCATGGAACTCGATACTAAGATACTCACCACCTTGATTAGATCGGAGCATCTTTATCTTCCTGCCCAACTAATTCTCCACTTCTTGATTAAACTCTTTGAACTTTTCAAAAGTTTCTGACTTATGCTTGATTAAGTAGATATACCCATATCTACTATAGTCATCGGTAAAAGTCACACTACTAGAAAAACAGCCTTTTACGACGCTCATTGCGCGTCGTAAAAGGCTCAGACGACGCGCAAATGCGCGTCAAGAAAGGCCCTGTCATAAAGAGAGACGACACGCTTTTGCGCGTCGTCTAGAGACGACGCTCATTTACGACACGCAATTACGACGCACGTTTACGACACGTAATGTGTATCAAGGAAGGCCCTGTCATAAAGGAAGACGGCACGCATTCGTGTGTCGTAACCTTACGATGTGCATGTTAATGACACGCAATGCGTATGAAGAAAGCCCCTGACAAGAAAGGTCATGTCATAAATGAAGATGACACACATTTTTGCGTATCATAAATTTAATGTCATACAAATAATCATTCCATATATAGAAAAATAAAACAAATCAATAGAAGTTGAAACAGAAATTTACAAACTAATAGTTCTAATAACCTAGCTAATGTGTGCCTCACTGTAAACAAGATTTGTGCTGATTTTTTTTAAATGTGTGCCTCACTTGTCTCCACTCTTCCTTAATAACACCACTCAAGGACTCTAAATCTACGAACTTGCTCACAGTATCTATATTGCCTGCAAAAAAAAACATAACTACAAAATAAGTGTGAAGATGGATTATTACAGTGTAAGAGAAGTAAAGAACCTTGAGCTTCCTCCAATGGGACACGTGGGTAGTCAGACTTGATACAAGCTTCCAGTAAATTTATATAATTTTTATTAAAGGCTTTCTTCAGCCGCAAAACCCTCCATCATATATATAGTGTCCTTCCAATGCTTCCTTGGCTACAATAGCTGTCTGAACATTTGTAATTTATAAATTTTTTTTAACAATTTACAAAATTATATTATATGTAATAAGCTTTTCAACACTTGTTATCAAAAACACTAATTAACTCTCACCAGAGTATTGAATTAGAGCTTGAACTCCACCATTTTTGTCAAACATTGCTATCTTTAAAACATGCCCAAAAGAGAAAATACCTGCATGTTTTTAATAGAAGCAAGAAGAACATTACCCTCAAATTCAATCTTCTTTCCATTTAAACCTAAACTGGACTGCAAAATTAACAAACTTGTAAGCATAATACAAGTATAAATATAAAATACAACAAAAAGTTGAGTAATTTTACAAAACAATCCTTCAAGTTGTTATAAAGAATAATGAATTTACCTAACCAGTAGCATCTATTGCTGAAGATGCAACAAGAAGCATAGGATTTCTATAGTCCCTGAATAAATATAAATCTTATTAGGTTAGGGGAAGAACCTTCATAAAAAGAAATACAGTCGGAAAGATATAATATTGTCTTATACCTGCTACAATGACTCTGGAATTTTACACTCAAATTTGTATGTGTAGAAGAACACGAGGCTCTTGGCGACACATCTGATTTGAGTCTCTGGAGTAACCGATCTTTTGAAGAAATTGGGTACTATATCAAGCAACACACACTGTCAAATTTATATAATTTTTATTTTTAAAAAAAGTGTGGAGGATTTGATGATGAGTTAGGAGTTTTGTTCCTTTGAACTCATCAACTCCATGCTTTCTTCTCTGTTCGATTGCTGAAGAAACTGAAGATGGGAGGAAATCTTTACCTCTATAAAGAACAATATACTCCTTATCGCGTGTAATCAGGGTTCCCCCAGTTAACCACTGAAATATTTTCATGTTGGAGAAAATAAATATGCCATTGTTAATATTAATTTGAAAGAAAAATGCCATATTTCAAGATGCTTTAGTATTGGTATCTATTCCAATTAACATAAACCTGCAACTCTTTAGCCATTAGCTCAGTGTTAGTATTTTGTACTCCTTTCTTAACAACAATCTTTGCAATCTCACATTTCTCCCAAAGCTTTAGAATAGCTGCAGCCAATCCTTGATGTTTCCTATATCTACCTGATACAATCCAAACAGACATATTTTCAAATAAGAACATACAGAACTACAATTTGGAGTGAGAGTGACTAACCTAAAGCAAAATGACATGGTAAAGGCCTTCCAAGTCTTCTAAGAATTGTCATCTCATCATTTGTTAATTCTGGTTAAACTCCAAAGGGGAGAAGCCTGAAGGTTTTCCTGTTTATCTAACCTCAGTTGAGATTTGATGCAATGAGAAATACACCCGAAACTCCTTCAAACATCTACATATAGAAAAGATGTTATTTTAATAAGATGTCAACATAACAAAAGTAAGAAAAGGGAATCTTGAAAATATACGTAGAAAATTAGGGATCAAAGCCAACAAGATAGTATGTGACCACAACCCAAACACCAGATTCTATGATTGATGAAGGAATACTTAAAATCCATGAAGGAAGTGTGTAAACCCAAGAGGGGTAGAAATGTAAATCTCTATGCTTGTAGATAACAGGAAGCTTAGCTATCAACATAGGTACCTCCATGAATCCATTAAAAAAATCATAACTATCGCAACCAACATAAGCTGAAAACACACACTTGTCATGATTATAACCCAAAACCACCCATTAATCTAAACCCATGTTGAGGGAATGCATTTTTGTGTGGTTGAGTGGCGGTTTTTGTCGTTGACCTGGCAGCTGATGTGTAATCTCGAGACCTAGAACCGATTTTGATTTTGGGTCTGTTGAGTTACTACCTCTTCCGTATAAAGTGTTGTTTATTTTTTTTTTGTTCTATTAATATAGTCTAAATATTAAATAGACATGTTTTTTTTAAATGACATTAAATAGAGATGTTAAATAGAGATGTTAACTTATTAAAATATACAAAAACAATGGATTACATATTAAAATGATAGCCTCCAAAAAAAAGAATACAAAAAATTTAAAAAAAAAAAAGTAATAGCAATTAATACATATTAAAAACAATTTGAAGGGTTGATTACAAATTAAAAAACAATAGCAATTAAAAGGGAATTTGATTTCATTATAATTTAATAGATAGTATGACTTATATCTTTTTTTTGCTCTTTTGTAAACGGACAGGAAATGATGTCCAGGGGATTTGTTGAAATTTAAGAAAAATAAAACAAGAAATAAAATCCTATTATCATGAAAATGTCAAATAGCTTGGAAAAAATATAAGGGCAATGGTGGAAAATGACATGTCTTAATTCATAGACCCTCCATTTTTTCATCTGCAAACAAGATAAATTAGTAACAATACAAAAGAAGTTCTCAAAGAGTAAAACAAAAATTATATAATCTAAAGCCACCTATGTTTTCACAACGTTCCAAAAATGCACTGGATCCTTCCATAAGATCTGCATGCTTCCCAAATAAATCAGCAACCTGAAAAATAAAATTTAAAGACATCAAATTTAACAGCATACAATGTTTGATTCTAAGAACGAAACAAAAAAGGCTTCTTCTGGAGCATTGTATTTTTTTAAAAGCAATGCCAAAAAAAACACAATTTGGTATAAAATATATACCACGCGTTACACAAACATACCAAGATCTATAATTTCTTCTTGGTAATTATTTATGTACCGTATATATGAAGGCATTTCAAGAATGCTTGATAATCTTTCTCACAGGATATGGCCCTGCTGGATATGCACTTTTTGTTGCAGTTTATGCTGGCTTGGAGGTAACTAGCTGCCTGTCTCTCCCTCTCTTGTGTTGGGTGTATAAATAAGTTTTGATTTTCTGCTTGTCCAAATGTAGCTTAAAATCTTGCTTTTCATTTTTCGTTTCCTTTTGATTTGACAGAGATAATTTGGTAAGCTATATGTAGGTGTTTCTTTATGACTTAATGCAGAAAAAAAAAAAAACAGCTTAATAGATAAACTCATGATGTTCCTCTTATTCTTGTTTTTTGTTGTGTGATTGCGTAATCTACTCTTCACATTCTCACAGAAAGTAAATTCTTGGCTATACATACCTATAATTAACAAATACCAAACTCTCGAAAAACTATGAAAAAGAAAAAAAAAACTAAATCAATATGAAAAAAATCATCTACTACTCACTTTTGAGGGCATCTTTATCACCATATGGAGCTGAATCTGAATGTACTCCAAAATCTTCCACTTTACATGCAATTTTTCGTTAGATATCCCTATCCCTGTTGTTAAGATCAGGATGATCACTATTTCTCCTCTCCCTATTCTCCTTCTGCCTCTAATCCTTGTGAAGTTTCATAATTGGTTTATCATCCATATCAGGACAATCAACAATCATGTCCCTTTCAACATGTGGACCATTGACCCTATCCCTCGTTGCTATCAATAATAACAGAATCAACCCCTTTTAAAATCAAGAAAAATATATATGAAAATGTTGAAAAGTTACTACCTTATCCACCTGTGCCAGTTTGAGTGGGACCCCACCTCAGCTCCGATCATATGCATGCTGCTCTAATGAAGCTTGATGTGCAGATGCAACAGCAGCAGAATACGATAAAAATCTTGGTAATTCATCAAGAAAACCCGGATGATCATAAAAAAGTGAATCTACCTACATAAATTACAAACTGTCAGCAAAGGGTAGGGTTATTTTATTTAAAAAGGTAAAAATAGAGAAGTTTACCAGTGAAGATATAGTGATCATTTTTATAATTTCATCAAGAAACCCTTCTTTACCTTATCATTTCACATTCATCAATATTAGACTAGCATACTGATGAGAGTCTAGAAGAGGGAAAAGTGAAGGAAACAAAGTTAAATATGTAAAATTTGTGTATAAAGTATGATATCAACATCATTAACCAATAAACAAAGAACTAGAACCCAGAATCCAAATTCTTCACAGAGCCATGAGCATCAGGGATATCAATAGTTGGTTCCATGATAGGCCACTTGAGTGTCCTCATCTAACCATACTATACTACATAATAACTAGGTACTTAAAACCATATGATGGTGATTCACCAAACAAAAGTCTACAATTCAGGGTATATGAAACATTACTGGTTCCATCCTTACCCATCTGACCACATCCATCTTTACACAGCCAAAAGATGAAAGAAATTATTGTCTACACTCACTCGAGCATTTCATCAAACACCTCACGTGCACTTGATCAGTTCATCTTAAATTAAAATTGAAACTGATAGAAATCCCATGAAAAAGTAGATAACAAAATCTAGATCAATAAGGAAGATGTAAGTAAGGAAAAAATAATTTTTTTCTCTTGTTTGTGTGTCTTAAGCTGTTCAGAAGCAAAAAGAAAAAGAAAAATCAAATCATAATTACCTTATATTCTGGAACCAAAGCTTGATGGTCAATGAAATAGAGCCTAATTCGAGTTCAATCATCTTCTACATCTTCCTGGTTCTACGATTTGGCTTCCTAATGGCGTGGTAGATGATCTTGATCATGTAAGGATCAGGTTTTGGGGCTCCTTAGAAAGTGGACATGAACCCAAACCCTGAGTTGATACCATAAACCCTATGAAACCAGATTGACTCTTTGAACTACTACCATTTTCGAGCTTTGTTCTACTTTTATGGATCGATGAAAACAAAGGTTGATTGATTTCTTCACACAGGAATCCATGTCGGCGGTAGCGTTATCTGGAACCGATGATTGTGTATCGGCGGGAGCTGTTGGTGTGGCAAATAAATTCATCGGAAGAAGAATGGATGAGTGGATAGAGCTTGAGGACGAGGAAAGAGGGCAGAACCAGGAGGAAAATGCGAGGGAGGGAAGTGAAAATGAAAGAGAGGGAACACGAATTTTTAAGAAAAAAATTATAGAACGATTATATGAGTTTTCGAGGTGTATAGCAGAGATGGTATGGTGATTAGGGTTTGTAGAGAGAAGGGAAGAAGAGAATGAAGGGGGAAGTGGGGTATTAAAATATTTTAGAATTTTAAGAGGATTTCATTTCCCCCTTTCAAGAATGCGCGTTTTGAGTAAAAATCATAAAGCGACATTCACAGAGGACGCGCATTTTAGTTGAAGTGCCCTCCGTGTTTTTATTTTTTTTAGATGAGACACTAATTTAAGGGCACGCAACAATGCGTGACCTAAATCCTTAAATTTTTTGAAGAGACGACACTTTTTTAATATCACTCTTTTTTGCGTAACATAAATCAATGAATGTCGTGGTTTGCGCGTCGTAAAAGGGTCTTTTTCTTGTAGTGATATAGAAGCGGTTTGCATCCCTTGTGGTGGATCTAAAGGGTCCGCATACATCCGTATGTATAAGATCGAATAAACCCTCACCCCTTTCACAAGTACCAGTGAAGGGTGACTTGGTCATCTTTCCAAGCAAACAAGATTTGCACGTGTCATCATACCTAAGGTCAAATGACTCCAAGACTCCATCCTTTTGGAGTGGGCTATGTGCTTCTTGTTAACATGTCCAAGATGACAATGCGACAAGCATGCTTTGTCCAAACCATTGGACAAATCGATATGCAATACATTATTTCCTAAGTTGTCTATAACCATCACAGTTTTATATATACCATTACCAGGCAATGCTTCAAAATACAAAGTAGCATTCAAGAAGGCATTAATATAACCAATTTCATTGTTCATTGAAAATCTAAAACCTTTTTTATACAAACCATGAAAACAATAATATTTCGTGTCAATTCTGTAAAATAGAAACAATTATTCAACTCTAAACCTAACCCACTACTAAGCACTAAAGAATCAACTCCAATCATGGTGACATGCGTTGCTTTCCTATTCTCCATGATTAAGTTCATCTTCCCGTGCTCCTCATCCCTACTTCTCCATAGACACTGCAAATCAGAACAAATGTGAAAACCACATCCTGTATCAAGGACCCAATAAATAGCATGTGCTGAGTTGTTAGATTGAATAGTGTAAATACGTGTGAAGGTGGGCTTTATCTTCCCATCCTTGATGTCTTCCAGATACTTCAAGCTGATTCGCTTCCAATGCTCTTTGTCGTGATAGTAGAAGCACTTTGCATCCTTCGGATTGGAAGAGAGATCAGTAGAACCACCTTTAGTCCCACTAGAAGAGGATCCATCATGGGACTTTCCCTTGTGGCTCTCAGAAGGATCCTTCCTCTTCTTCCCTTTCCCTTGTCCAATTACCAAGACAGGGGAAGTAGTAGCAGGAGTTGATGCAATAGACTTGCCTTTAAACTACTCTCAGCAGTTCTTAGTAGGCCTTGGAGCTTGCTTAGAGTGACTTCTTCCTTGTTCATATGATAAGTCATTCTGAACTGATCATAACTGGAAGGCAAAGATTGTAGGATGATGCCAATAGCCTACTCTTTGTCAAAGTTGACATTCAACTTTAGCAAGCGATCCACAAATCTTTGCATCTTTTGCAAGTGGGCGGTGATGGACTCTCCATTCTTCATCTTTGTTGTTATCATGTCAGCAATGATCTCGTACCTTTCTTGTTGAGCACTTTGATGGTACATTTTCATCAAATCTTGGTGCATCTTGAAAGGATAGTAGTCCTCGTAGGACTTTTGGAGTTCAACAGTCATTGTAGCATGCATGATAAACGACACCTTTGTTACGTCATTTTCATTAGCCCTATATTCCTTGATTTCTTCAGGAGTAGCAGTGTTTTCGTTGATCTCAATCAACTCTTTGTCAAGGACATACTCCTTGTCCTCGTAGAAGGTAACCATGCAAATGTTGTGAATCCAACGTTAAAATTGGATCCATCAAAGATCACACTCCCACACAAGTTCATGCGTGAGAAGGAGCTAGGAGCATTGGAATTAGCAGCGTTGTTTGAAGTCTACATCGAAAAAAGAAAATAGATAAAGTTGAGTTTAGATAAGGATCCTTAATATAACACCCAAATGAAATATTAAGGCTAGGACCCAACACAATATTTCACAATTCGAAAAGTGATGTCGTAATCTAATTGTAAAATATTTGAAGGTAGGCAAATGACGATTTACCAATTTCCACCATCAAAAACGAAAAGGAATATTAAATTTTAAATGAATTAAAATTCCTAGATTCTTTTGAGATTCATTGAACGTTTCAATGACATGTTTTATTCTAGATTATGCCCTTCAAGTTTGTGACTGGGATACCGAAGATCACAAACAAGGTGTGAATAACCATGCAAATGTGCTTGGTATTCTCGATGTCATTTATCACCTAATCAATGTACCAGTTAACCATACACGCTCCATTGATCTATGATAAACATCGAGCTACCCTTTGCCACCCTTTCTAGTACCAAATTAGTGTGTCGATTAACCACACACACTCCATTAATGACTTTGCAAGGTGCAAAGTGCAATTTCATGGAATATCATCATTTTCACATTTTTCCTAAAGTAACAAGGATTGGGAAACATTTTTCCTAAAGTAACTAGGATTGGGAAGTTATGAAATCATTTAGTTACTTTATGAGTCATTATACTTACTAATGAGGAATTAGTTTGTCCTATCATACCCATTCGACTAACGACCCTCCACTACTCAAAAGTGCGGTGGGTAAGAGTGGATACCCAATGACGATCATTTTATAGGTTGCTTCCTTAAAACATCCCTTATAGACCAACTTCATGAATGAGGCCTACTAACGGTAAGATTGGCTCGTTTTATACATATATATAATTATTAGTCTTTTAATATTATAATAGTATAAGGGTCGAATTTTAAACCTTTTAAAACTCTAGGGTTTAGAATTTAAATATTCCAAAATCAAAAGTTTTTAATCAAAATTTAAATTCCAAAACGTGAGGGAAAATTTTGAAACTTTTCAAAATATCTTTTAGATCTAATTTGAAAAAAAATAATTAAATAATCATATAATATATATTTATCACAAAATTTGACCTAATCCACTTTTTATGGCAAGATAATTCAAATCAAAGACTACAAATACTTAATTTTATCATATAAACTAGTAATTATCTTATAATTCAACAATTATCCTTTTATTAGATGAAGATAATCATTACCATAATATAAAAATCACATTTTATTAGAAATAATAGTTTCTGGTAATTATCTAAATCTAATTTAGGCTAAAAATCCAAAAATTTTGCCAACAGACCCGCGAACTCGTCAAGTAAGACTTGGACTCGTCGAGTTCATATATGAACTCGTCAAGTCCTACTGCTAGAATCCGGTTTTTCGACTTTTTCAACTTTGAACACTTAATCTATGCATCATATACTATATAAAAACGACCTAGGCTCTGATACCACTGATGGGTTTTGAGCATTACATCATTCCTATGGTGCACATGCAACCCTAAAACTTTGGATCTAGGTTTTCTATTGTAATACATGCAATAATAATCATCCAAAACTATAACCCTAAACTAGCATGCTATTTTCGAAATTAACATCTAATACAAGGTTAGATGATTACCTTTCTTTGTAGCTTGCTTGATCTTCAACCTTTGAGAACTTAGCACCTCAAATGTGATGCTTATAATAGATC